TGTTATAATCAATTGTGTGTCTCTTACATTTTGCTTCGCACGCGCATTCGTACTAGTTTCTAATGTTTGGAGGTACGAATAACCTATTCAGGGAAAGTCACTCTGCCGAAATCCTTTTAGTTTCATTTCTTGGACTAAACCACACGTGGATAATCTGAGAGAAAAAAAACATCAACATTTTTTTAACAGTTCATTTTCTAAGTTCGTTTTTGAGTGCACTGAATACCAATGTTCTAACCACAAGAACAGGTCGCAGAATGCGTCTTTCTGCGGCCGAAGCTCTGAAATTGTTTCAGTCAGATGTTTTTAATTGTGATAATGATAATAAAAATTTAGATTTTTCGGAAAGTGATTCGGACAGTGAATTTTCACCAGTGAAACTGAGCGATCAGCTGTTCAGAATCTAGCGATTCTGACGAGTTTGTTACACAGACAATGTCCCATACTAACGTATTTATGGTGTAAGAGAAGGAAAGTGCTCTAAACAAACAGATAGTACTATACTATGGCTAAGCTACATTGAAATCATCGCAGCTACAGTCTTGTAAATAACTGTACAAAGTGAATAGTAAATAGTGTGTGTGTGTTATGGCTCATGTTTTTTGCCATTTTTTCTCCGAAATTTTGCTTAGCACTTGGTGGGAACTAAAAGCCTCTGAGTGATAAACTAATCCAGAAAGTTATCATAACTTTAGAATATGTTAGGAAATGGAACAAACTTTGAAGTTTTGTTCTCAAATTTGGATATTTACTATTCTTGTGGCTGCAAAACCATGGTAAGAATTTTTTTGTAAAATGTTGTCCTTGTGAAATTAACACCTGCTGAATTATTCTTTTCCACTAACTATAACAAAATCAAACAAACACTTATCATCAGATTCAGAATGTACACTCATTTCTCTTTTAATATATACTGTTATAGGGATTAGAAGTATATTACAATCTCTACAGCCTTTCTTGTACAACCACCCCTCTGCCATTTTTGTAAAAGGAAATTAATGTGGGCCAAGTCTGTCAAAATTCATGGGCCTGAAAGAGTTAAGGGTGAACAAAGAAGATGATGATTATGATGATGACCACATGTGGCTTCAACTGGTAGAATCTTGAATCCAGTTAGGTACTAGCAGGAAGGAATGTGGATGAGGACAAAGCATAGACCTGTGTAACCAACTATCCATGGTAGAATCCTTAGTCCAGTTAGGTACTAGCCGGAATTAATGTGGATGAGGACAAAGCATAGACCTGCATAACCAACTAGTCATAGGGACTATACGTGTTGATACTTTTCAACCAGTTTCTTCTTCTTCATAGCGTTCACTGGCTGTAAACTCTACAGAAAGTTCTGGTTGTTCGTTCACTACTGGACTTTGGTCTTGATCCAGAACTGGAATTTTGAGTTATGTGAACAATTGCGTGTTACAGATCTGGCTTATCTGTATGCAGATTGTTGGTTCCTTTCTCCTCAGGCAGATGCACTAACTTTGAAGGAAACACTAATAAATAGTCACCTCCTACGACATGCTTGTCAAGGGGGCAGTAGGTCTTTTCTTCGTTCGCCAAAACGGAGCTCCGGGACCCACACAGGGAAACCAGATTCTAAGGCTGACAGAGTACAAATGGACATGTCACAGTGGCAAGAAATGTTCTTAGTGCGAGCAATAAGATATTTAGTAGTGGCACAAGTGACTATAACATTGGCCATGATTGCCCAAACTTGTCAACATGGCACGTGATGATGATGAGAACAACAGAACTGAAATACAGTGGGAGTATAAAAGCATAGCTGGAAAAAATAAGAAAAACAATACAAATGCAATACAGCATGAATTCAGTGTTTAAGTGAAAATATTACATCAGTATGTTGGCACAAGTTGAAACTCAGTAGCACAATTGAAAAACAACATAAGTGTACATGGTGTAAATTAAATCTAACATGAATATAATTGTACAACTAAAGTTTAATGAGTTCAGGGTACAATTAAAACCCAAATGGAGTAAAGAGGTACAACTCAAATCCAACTTGAACACAGTGACATAAAAGAAACACAGAAGTACATAATTGAAATTCAATATGCTTACAGTGTCAAAAATAATAAAGCATGAGTAAAAACACATGGAAAAGAGAGCTGGAGAATGAAGTTAGAAAGATGGGGAAGACATGGGGAGAGCTCTGTGCAATAGCAAAAGATAGAACGACTTGGACAACATCACACCTGTTGCCTTTACTTCTATGACTTTATCTTGTACCCATTTAACGCTGGGTCGACCTGGCAGTCAAGGTCATTCTTTAAAAAAAAAAAATTCATTTCCGTCATAACTTTATGTACAGAGGTATTAATAAAGTATAAAATGAGTACTGGCAGATAGCAACAACATTCTTTGCCATAAAAGTTTACATTTATTCTGAGATTCAGTGACGGATAGTAACAACTGTGGTGGATGAGTGTACAATTTAAAAAAAGATTTATAAATTATGAGCATAATATAAACTACGATGACTCGAGTGAATAATAACAGAGAAATGAGTCGACAATCTAGCCTCCATTTAGTGATATCCCAATAACATTAAATCAAATTTTTTAAAGGGCCCTTTTCATGCCAGTGGCGCAGTGGGCATTTGATGCTAGACTATTATTTTTGTAGATCAATCGGTCATCAACGGGTAATGTGGTAGACATCATGCCAGTGGTCTTTACTTCCCAGGAATTTACCTTGTATCCATTTTAAGCTGGGTTAAACTGGGAGGAGACAACTTAATGTGGATTCAAACCCAAAATCTTCAGAATGGCAGACGAAGTGGCAAACCTGGCAAACCAATACAGCACTGCCACTACGTTTAATCACATATTAAGATATAGAAATAATCTCATAACTAACGGAGGGGAAGAAATTGTTTCTGCAGTCATCAACATGAACAGTCACAGCTTTCTTTCTCTTCCTTTCCTCTGTGTATATGTGTATTTATGAATGTGTTGTGTGTATGAATGTATGAATATGTGTGTATATATATATATATATATATATATATATATATATATATATATATATATATATATATATATATATATATATATATATATATATATATATATATATATATATATATATATATATATATATATATATATATATATATAGTGTTCTGTGTGTGATGTGTACATGTAGGTATATATGTATGTGTGTACGGGGGTATGAGTGTGCAGGTATGTGTGCTTGTATCTATGTATGCGTGTGTGTCTTTGGTATGACAGTATACTTGAATGTGTGCATTTACCATCCATTTTTTTGTGTATTCTATTTGATAATCATAGTATTTATACTGTTATATGAACATAACAGGCTTAGATAAAATACAACAGCAGTATGAAAGGTGAGTGTTTGGAAGGTCCGAATGAAAGATGGACCTGCGTGCTCACTCTGTGACCCTTTGGAAAATAAAGTTTGTTCGTTTGTACTCTCATATGACAAATATGCAAATGTCATAAGTTTCATTCTTAAAAAGTGAAAAAAAAAAAAAAATTTGGAAAAAAGGGGGGGGGGGGGGGGGGTGGTGGTGGTTGCAAACAGCAAGAGTACAATTCCAAGAAAAACACGTTCAGTGATCTTTGCATGAGTACATAAAGGCATTATCTTTGGGGCTCTTTTTTAGAAAAAAAATAGGTGCCGGTAATCACTTGTGCTATTACAGCAGCATTGAAAAAGTGCCGATATTGTATACTGTTGTGTATCACCCGGGGAAAAAAAAGCGTGGTTGTCTCAATAATCCATGGTCTCATTTACATAAATGTGTGGATATATGTATGCATGTGTGCGGGTGTATGTATTCATGTAAGTGTAAATGTGTGGTTTTGGGCATATGTTGGTGTCTGTACATGTAATGGTATATGTGTGTATGCTTGGGTGCATGTATAGATGTGTATATATGGAATGCGTGTGTGCATGTATATCCATAAATGTATGTGTGTGCGTTTTCTGTTTGTGCATTTATTTCTGTGTATGCTTGTATATGTATGTAGATGCAGGTGTGTATGTATCACGTATGTCTGTATATGAGTTCACCTGTATGAAAATGTAGATGTATGTATACATGTGTGTGAGTGTGTATGATGGCGTACACACGATGTGTGTATGCATTATATATTTCTTTTTAAATCCATAACATGCATTATTGATAACAGGTACTAGTACTCTGAAAAATGAGTACTTAGAAGGGCCGAATGTCAGACGGGCCTGCGTGCCCAATTTGTAACCCTTTGAAAATAAAGTTTGTTCGTTCGTTCGTGATTTAAAAAAAAATAATTCTGCCGTCTCAACGAAGGAAGCTGGCTGCATGGATACGTGCATCCACCATTGTCTCTAGGAATATTAGCTTGTGAGGCCATAATCTCTTCCTTGTGTGACTCTTGTGCCACTACCAGAAAACAATAAGAAGAGTCTTTTCTAAACCATTCACCGTGTGACCCAAGTCCTGGTACACAGAGAATAGTGGAACAGGTTCACTAACAGCGACCATATTTATAAAGGAAAGTATCATAAACAAAATTCTGGTAAACAAAACAAAATTCTGGTAAACTGAACAAAATTCAAATACAAATCGTTCAAAAGATAATCCAATCCATATCAGAACACTAAAAAAAAAAAGATAACTGAAACAGTAATCTTATTAAAAAAGATAACAAATAAAGACTTTTAAAAAAAAAAAAGGGTGTGTGTGTGTAAAAAAAAAAAAAAAAGATCCACCGAAGTCTACTTGTTTACTAAGACATCATTGTTTACATCATCAAAGTAATGAAGTTTACAAATAATTACTTACATTTCAAACTTTACTGTATATAAGATAAGATTGATATAAAAATACAACCACAGTTTTTACTGAGTGGGAAACAAAACAATTACAAGAAACAGTTTTCAAGGGAAAAAACCTGCAAGGTTTGATGGGTTCGCAGTCAACATGAACAATAAACTAATATAACAGACAGCCAGAGATCGACAAAAACTTCTTAGTTGTCAGGCCAGTCCCATGTTTCAGGCTCAAAACATTCGTAGTTGGTGTCGTAAATGAATGATCGAATATAGGCCTCTTTATCCTCAGGTTCTGGATAAGCAGACGCCAAGTCATTCTTATATACATACTCAGCCAAGTCTACAGCAATGGTCAAGGACACATTCTGAATTTCATTCAATGGTGGGTAGACTCTGCCTTCTTTCAGATGTTGATCAGTCACCAGGTTGGAGACACACTGTATCAGAAGGGAAACAGACAGGAGAAATGATTAGACAATTATGATGATATCAGAATGGAAAGAGAAAGGAAATGATCAGACAGTTATGATATCAGAATGGAAATAGACATGGAAAATGATAGGCATATTATGATGATATCAGAATGGAAATAGTCGGGAAATGATCAGACACTTATGATGATATCAGAATGGAAAGAGAAAGGAAATGATCAGACAATTATGATATCAGAATGGAAATGAGTAATGATCAGACAGTTATGCTATCAGAATGAAAATAGACAGGAGAAAAGATCAGACAGCTATAACAATAAATTTACAGCTAAAGTGAACCATCATTAACACAAACTTGCTTGATAAAAACCCTCAGTTAACATGAAAAAAACTGTGGTCCCAGCAGGGATGTATGTATAGTCCCCAGTCAGCACCAAGTTCTTCAACATATCTCTTGATTTTTCGGTCCCTGGGTCTTGATCAAGCCTGCTTCTCTGAACGATCCAAGTTGTCAAGCTATGTTCTTTTTCCATCCTCTCATCTCCAAATGCTGCACAGGCCTCCAATCAACTCACACCCAGTGCTCGCAGACTTGTTCACCATTAGCTGGATTTTGGCATAAGGCATCTGTCATATGTGCCAAGACTAAGAGTGCCATACTAAAACTGCAGCTCATTGTTGGCTTAGATGGTCAGTCATGAAAGCTGGCATTGCACCCACAGAAGTACAGCAATGGTTGCGATACATTCTGAATTTCATTCAATGGTGGGAACACACAGCCTTCTTTGTTTCAGCCGTGATGAGTCCTCGGCAATACAATGGCAAAAAAATGAGTTACTGACCACATAATTTTGTGTGTGTGTGTGGGTGCAACTTCGATCTCTGTGAAAAAGTCCCATGATAAACAGTTAACGAATCTGTGTAAGAAGAATGTTCAGTATCAGCAATCTTACACAATAAATATAATTTAAAAAGGTATACCTTAGCTGCTCGTAAAAAGAGTGCATCTGGTATGTGTCGCACACCACATGTGATTAAACCAAGTGCCACACCTGGGAAGATGTAAGCATTGTTGCCCTGGCCAGGGTGAAATGTCTGTCCCTTGTGGGTGAATGTTGGGAAAGGGCTCCCACTAGCAAAAACACAACGACCCTGGAAGACAGATAAAACAGTTGTCCATAACTGAAGCTATTATGGTTCTTATTTGCTAAGAGAGCCTCAAAATGTTTCAAGAAAATGCAGTTTTCTCTCTCTCTATCTCCCGTACACACACCACACACAAAGATGCATCTCTTAAACTTTACCTCCCACATATATACATTCTCTCTCTCCATTCATTTATGCAGCTTCCACAGAGAGGCAACTTTTAAAAAGCTGAAAAAAGTCTTAACACCAACCTCACTCCAATGCATTCAAGTCCTTCTTGAGGCTCGAATGACCTAAATGTCAATGAAGGAACCTTAGACATACCACACATTCACTAGCAAACCAACCAACACACAATGTGGTCAACAGAAACAGACGAATATCAAGCTTCCTTAACCCTGTTGCCATGAGAAAGCCATTTTACCCAGTCTCTACAGGTTTTTGATGACTTTAGGTAGTGATCACTATGCCTATATAACAGATCTAGTACTGGCTGCAACTGCATAGTGTGGACACTGTGGGTATGACTATATGTATACTTAAAAAGATAACTGAGAATATTATTCGGGGTTAAAAAAAAAAATAGCTGTTTTAAACTTTGATGTCATAATAACATCATAATGATGTCTCTTAGTTCCATGTTGCTGTCTTAACAGTTGTCAAAGGGAAAGAAAACAATGAATTATTTGCTCCATTTGTATTAAGTGATTACTTCCCTCTACATTAAAAAAACAAACAACCTCTGCAGAAAAATAGTAACTAAAAGTGGACAAAATAAAACAAATGTTTTGTTGGTGTTTTAAAGTGACTTGATGGCCGCAAAGAAATTGTGGACTTCATGACTGCTCGTCTGCTCGGTGGTCTAGGAGTTGAACCCTCTGCATTTTTAAAAAAAACTTACCTCAAACTCTCAAAGTTTTTCTGCTTCTTCTTCTCCTCTTCTAGTGTTTCAGGGTAGAGTTTCAAAAAGGATACATTGTTTTTTCATGAAATTTTGAAGAAGAAAAAAATAAAAAGGTCTTTTTTTTTTTTTGAAAGATTCTCACATGGCTAAGGGTTAACAGATTGTAAGTACACACACATTTACACTCACATCAGTCAAAGTGTAGGCTTGCTCTGCAGTGCACTCAGCCTTATCCGTGGGGTTGCTGAGGGCAAAGATGATTGGTCGTTCATTATGTTTGCCCATGGATCTTAATACCTTCTCGGTAAATGCTCCAGGAATAGCAGCAGCCCCTGTTGATTTAGAAAATTGACCTAATTTCTTGAAAGGATTTCGTTAGCTTTGCATACTGTTTTCTACAAAACATAAACAGACACTACATGACTACCTTGATAACAGCAAATGGTAGTTGCATTAAAAAAAAATTAAATGTAGTATAACTTAAGCCAAAGCAGCATTTCACAGACAGAAGAATATTCTATGCGTCCTGCCCATTTTTTGCACACAAAACACATTAAAGGCTGTTTTTTCTTTAAAAACAAAACCTCAAATTTATAATGCAATTTATTTTTTCGATTCTTAAATTTATAAATTATAATAAGTTTGTTATGTGTCTTTAAAAAAAGTATAGGGTCTGTGGCAAATCTTCTAAACTAAAAGGAGTCACTAGGTCTTAGCCAACTGGGAACCACTGCTCTATGTAATATCTTTATCAACTGATGTTAAGAAGAGTTTTTAAAAGCTATCTGGAGCTATTCTTGATGTACAGAAGTGAATCACAGGCAGTCAACATAATTATGAAAAAACTGTTTAAAATGTAATTTTCTAGATGGAAACACAATGGATGGATAAAAAGCATACTGCAGGTGTCTTCAAAGAAATCAATCAAGACAGGAATGGTAACTCGCATCACGAGAGCACAATCCACATAGTCTGACAGACAGAAGGCTGCTTCCCTGATCCTTATCAGAACACTAAAAAAAAAAAAATTACTGAAACAGTCTGACACCGTGGCATGAAGAAATATTTTTATTTAAAATGTTTGGCAGCAAACAAGACATGCTGTTAATTGTGGACGACTTTTCATAACATGGGCGGGTCTTGCTAGTCACACTCGCCATCACCATGGGCCGCGAGTCCCATGCCTCCTCATCAGTCATCATCAGTTCTCGTTATGCCTAGTGGCACATGAGGCTTCAGAGAGGACTTTCCATGCTTTCCTGTCCTGTGCAATCTTCAGTGCAGTTTTTCATGTCAAAGATGCCACACTCAGGTCACTTTCCATAGTTCTTCTCCATGTTGTTTTTGGGCGCCCCTGTTTTCTCTTTCCCTCTGGTGTCCATGTGAGAGCTGATTTGGCAGGAATATCAGGATTCATTCTCATAACGTGGCCAAGCCATGCCTCCTCATAGCGCAATATATCACTATCGTCTGGAAAGATGGAAAAGTGTCTATCATCATCTTCAAACGAGACAGAAAGCTGCAGACAGACAATATGCCTTTCGCTGATATCCATTTTGTATTGTGAATATATGGATTCCAAAAATGTAAAGTGAATATTTATGTTTAAAAACATCTGTGATACCTGAGCCATTAAAGAAGCAAACGGTAGTTGTACAATAACCAGACCACTGTCTTGTAATCTGTCAGTAGTGTTTATCATTATTAAGAACTGCAATAGGAACACCGTGACACCGAAATGATCAGAAACTAAGGAAAAGTAGCCAAAACAAAGCTTTTACAGATATTTAATGCTTGCTGGGCAACAGGGAATGTTCCACAGATCTGAGGAGAGGCAATTATGATACCCCTCATAAAGCCTGGGAAAGACAGTTCTAATGCCTCCAACTACAGACCGATCAGCCTCACAAGTTGTCTCTGTAAAACAATGGAGCGCATCACCAACTCAGACTACAATGGTACATTGAAAGTGAAAACATCATTACACCACAGCAGGCGGGCTTTAGAAAGTTCTACACTACGGAAGACCAGACAACATACCTCTCCCAAGAAATAGAGGATGCTTTTCAAGATAAGAAACTGGTACTCGCGGCATGAATAGATTTAAGGAAAGCTTTTGATAAGGTTTGGAAGGAGGGGCTTTTGAAGAAATTGAGAAACTATAAAATAAATGGAAAAATGTACAATTGGATTAAAGCATATCTACATAACAGAAGAGCCCAGGTACAGGTAGATGGTTTTAAAAGTAAAAAAAGTTATACTGCGACAAGGCGTCCCTCAAGGTGGTGTCCTGTCGCCCACACTTTTCCTTTTATTCATCAACGATCTGGTTGCTGAGATACCAAATGGAATCAAAATGGCAATGTATGCCGACGACCTGGTACTGTGGTGCACCAATGAACATGCAACGATAGCTACAAAAACACTACAGCGGGCTACAATTGCACTTGAGGCATGGGCCAATAGATGGTGTGTCAGCATCAACACAGACAAATGTAGCACCACACTATTTACCCTCTCCCCAAAGCAAAAAGCCGGCACCATCAAAATAAACGGAATACCCCTGAGAGATGATAGAGAGCCCACATACCTAGGAGTCACATTTGATGACAGGTTGACATGGAGAAAACATATCAACAAGGCAGCAACCAAAGCCAGGAGGAAGACAGCAATACTAAGAAAACTAAGTGGAACTACATGGGGAGCCGATGGGAAAATACTAAATAAAGTATACAAGCAGAGCATACTTCCACACTTGGAATATCGGTCAACTGCATGGTGTTCAGCATCTAGTACCACATTAAAGGAGTTAGACAAAGTGCAAAATCAAGCGCTCAGAGTCATCACAGGAGGGATGAAATCAACCCCCATATTAGAAATGGAGAAAGCTGGGAAAACACAGGCACTGAAAGAACGCAGAGATACAAAGTTGCAAATACAAGCTGAAAAGTTCCTCAGTATGCCAGATCACCCCATGGAAAATAGATTTAAGAACCTAGCCTTGGGACGGTTAAAAAGAAGCATTCCAGTCTAGGAAACTACCAGAATTGTAAAAACTGCTGACACAACTCAGCGTTCAGCGAAGAGTCGTAATGCAGTGGATACCGTCTCATTGTGGAGTGCCTGGAAATGAGAAAGCTGATCAACTGGCAGGGGAAGGTGCCACAAAAGAGCAGCCGGATGTACCAGTCACATACCACCAAAAGAAAAGAATCATTAAATCGATCAGGAAACCACCAGCCCCAGCACAAGACGACTATTTTATTTTGGACAGATCAGAACAAGTCATTATCCTCCGCCTCAGAACAGGGCACAACCGATTACGTAACCACATGTACACAAAATTCAAAATAGGTGTATCAGCCATGTGCGCCTGTGGAAATGTGCCCCAGACCGCAGAGCATGTACTCCAGGACTGCACCGATTTTGACACATTAAGGCAAACCTTTTGGCCAGAAAGAACAACAGTGGAACGTAAACTCTATGGACCACTGAATGAACTCACAACGACAGTGAAATTTATACAAGAGACAAAACTGCTGATATAGACAACTTATTTCAGGCGAACGAAAGAAGAAGAAGAAGACTGTGACACCATAATGAAAGTTTCAGTTTCAAGATGACTGTCCAAAGAGAAGCAGCGTTTTGTAATTTTTTTTTTTTAAATAAAAACCTAAAGAAATTCCCTGGCAAATGAGGGTCCGGTTTAGTGACTCATGCATCAGTTCAGCAAGTGTGTGAATAGGATGTTTAAAAATGACTGAAATGGACTCTGGGGTCACTACTCAGTGCGGCTGACCGGATCATAAACAGTCTGTCACACAAGTCACGCTGAAGTATGGTTATTGTAATTACTTACACTACAGAGGAGGCAAGTGACAACTGTTGGTGTGAGGCTGCCTAACATATTCCACACAAAACTTTACCTGCAAAATCCAAACAATCACGAACAAACAAAAAAGAAACAGGAAAAAAAAAAGCAATGTAGCAAATTGGATGGAACCTTTTCCAACAGGAATAATACAGAAAAGATAAAAAAAAAATTTTAAATCTCCATGAGACTGAAAGGAATAAGAGCACTTCACATGAAAAAGCTGAGGAAATACACTTGATTAGAGGTATAAATGGCAAAATATTTTTGTTTTTGTTTTAAATTTTTTTACAAAGGAGTGCGTGAAATACAAATGAATTTCATATAAAACTGTGTTAATGTGTTTCATGATAAAAATAAACAAAGGTAACATTATAACAAACCAATAATGGCAGTTGGCTTCAACTCCTCAACAACATCTTCTAGGCTTGTCATGTGTTTGTAATCCTTGGCAAAGTCCTTTTTGTGACCAGAAATTCCACCTGAGGGACGACCCTGAAGTATAAATCAGACACAAAACCACATCAACATTAGATCAACTGTACGCCTGTTAGTGACTGCCAGGAAGGTTTTTTTATGCCAAAACTGTCAACAAGCAGTGTGCAGGTTTGAATGTTTTACTTTATTTTAAAGAACAAAAATTATTGGTGGTGCACCACTTCTCTGGTTTCACCAAGGTACAGAACATAAATGTCCAATGATCTTGCTCAGTATGACCTCTTCTTGTTCTCACAAATTAAGACTAAAAGGTCACAGATTCAATGACATTGAAGAGATTCAAGCTAATGTGATAAGACGATTGAGGGTTATTACAGGAAGTACCACCTCTGTGATCAGCAGGAAGGTTGGAATATTTTTAATATATACTAAAAATTAATTAACCGGCTTTGCCTAGGATAATTAAAGAAAATTGTATTCCCCTGTTCCTACTTCACTCTGTCTTCACCGCTGCCTTATGTTTGGTCATCCCTCCTATCTGCATCTGAAGCTCTTACTGCTCCCCTGGGCTGTTCTACCACCCCTCAAATCTGACAGATGAAGTTACCATCCTTTCAACACCCTCAGCAACACCCTGGGGGGGGGGGGGGGGGGGACACCCACGATGGAAAGACTGGTCTGAGATTCCCATCCCTACCCCTCCTTTTTTCAACCCCAATCTGACCGATAAAATTAACTACCCCTCTACAACCATCAGCACATCCAATGGGATAGTAGCGCTCCCACAGTTTAAAACACTAGTCCAACTACCACTGCTATTCTGATGAGTTCTAGGCTAGATTTACCTCCAGTGTAAGTGGTTCGAAGCTGTTACAGGCCTCATTACTAATTGCATTTCACATGATATTTTCAGCACATATGTTGAAAAGGCATCTAACTAATATCCTATATTTAATTGCTGGGCACTACCCAGTTTTAATCTCCCATCCTCTACCTCATCTTTGTCTCACTACTGCCCTAAGTTTAGTCCTGTCCCTACTGACCCAAGGATCTTGCCGTTTTTCGGGCCCTGGCCTGTTCCAGCACCCAAAAATTCTACTGACCAAGCTACTGCTACCTAAACTGCCACAGCACTCTCCATGGATTAGTAGCATCCACAGTGTGAAAGGCCAAAATGCTGTTGCTACTCCTACTTTAGTCACAACTAGCTGTAGTCGTCCTGTTATTACCCTTTTTTTTTTAAATTTCAAATGAAAAAGCTGAAAATAGTGAAACTGAACACATACAACTAAAAATGTTAAACATTTGTTTTTTAGCTAGGGCTTGAACCCAGGACCACCTGCATGTTAGGCAGATGGAATAACCATTACACTAAGAAATGATGTGAATATAATTTGAAAATGAATCACCAACGTTTAACCACAGGGCATTTTATTGTACATATTGCCTGTTCTATAGTTGGAAAGTTCTAGTCGTTCATTCACCCCTGGATTTTGGTCACGTTCCAGAAGGTAAACTTTGTGTGCACATCCGTTTTAACAGATCTGGTTTAAACATAAGCAGACAGTTCGGAAAGAACTGGTCAGGGAGTTTAAAATACTGATCTAATCAAATCTGCATCAAGACAAATCTTCAGTACTAATTTTATGTGACTGGGTCTAACTAAAGTCATACTGGTTTGACCACAGTCATCCTAGAAATAGGCCTGACGTCTTCCCTCGAAGTCGGAGTACATCTGCCCATGAGGCAGGGAACATAAAACGGTTGTACACGCAGAACTCAGGTCCAGGTAAAAGCCAAAAGTCCAAGCGAACGATTAACCCGACCTTCTGCCAGAATTCACAGCCGGTGAACAAAGAAGAAGATACTGGTTTGAGAAAATGCTTGTATATAATTATTATCAGGTTTCATCACCACACTTAAGGTCGAATGTAAAAATAACGAATCGCAGAAACTTTCAACCCTTTATTTGAAAGTGCCTTCATGCAAGCCTTGCTGAGCATACACTTTCTGCCCACGTTATCTCTTGCATTTAGTTAAAATTAGATGCTTTAGGCAGAAGCCGCATACATAACAGTCTGTCTATGCTGAATGTTAAATGTTGAATTAAGAACATCACAGAACTTGTGACACTCCCATAAGCGCCCCATCCCCATCTTTAGCAGCAAATGAGTTCCAATTCTGATACCAGTAACAGCCTGTCTGTAAACCACAACACAATGTGCTGGCCACCCTTTTAAAGATGAAAGCAGAAGAAGACCTCTTGCATGCTTCCTCTCTACTTCTGCCTCCAGCACAACTCTGAACACAAGAGTTGTGTCTCTTTACATGGTCCCCAGATATTTTATAACAGACACCTAAAGAGAACAAAATCCACAGTTAACTCTTTCAGTCCCAAGGAACCCATCACATGTTCATAGGTTCCAACCTAGAAGCCCAAAGACTGCAAGATACGCTGATTTTACGTCTCTCTTTATTACCCCTTGGGCTTCTGATGCTAAATCCCTTGGGATTGAAAAAGTTAATAAAACAAGGCTGCAAACTTGTACAGAGGCAGGCAATGTATAGCTTCTGTCAAACATATTTTTACCCCAAAAATCCTGTTTAACTACTAGGCATGTTTCTATGACATGCATACGATCACATATATGTTGTACATATAAACAATAGTTGATCACACATATGATGTTGTTGGGCCTAAAAGAGTCAACTGTCTGACAATCACACATAATATGTTGTTTGGGACTAAAAGATTCAACTGTCTGACAATCACACATAATATTTTGTTTGGGACCAAAAGAGTCAACTGTCTGACAATCACACATAATATGTTGTTTGGGACTAAAAGAGTCAACTGTCTGACAATCACACATAATATGTTGTTTGGGACTAGAAGAGTCAACTGTCTGACAATCACACATAATATGTTGTTTGGGACTAGAAGAGTCAACTGTCTGACAATCACACATAATATGTTGTTTGGGACTAAAAGAGTCAACTGTCTGACAATGACCTCATATCATAATATTTCTTCAATGTCAATGTTTACTGACTTCTCCTCCCATTATTTTTTGTTATAACTACATTCTAAAAGTTTCACTTCTACCCGATACACTGGAAATCTAACCTGAGACCACTGTTTTGGCATATTAGTTTATATTTTGTTTAATGCAAAGGAGATCATACAGCATAAACTTACATTTGTTATTAGGCCCTTAGAGTCAACCATCCAGATCTTGCTGTTAGCTTCTTCTTTGGTTGCCCCTTCCTCTTGCATAGCCAATGATAAAAGCTGAGCTATGCCTAATGATGCCTGTTAAGAACAGAAAATGAATTCACATGTGAAATGCCTAAACTATATATCAGAAGTAATGAGATTAAACAGGCAGATCACTAGCAAGAACAGTAATGCTACAGTAGATAGAGAACGGACTTCGTACATTTTAGGATATGGTTTAATGAAGAAGGAAATCATCTCACCATAATGCCTTTCCTGATAATTCTGAAAATAATTCACTACCCTCTTTGAAATAAGGAATAAAAAAACACCATAGAAACCAAGCCTTAGTTAGTCTATCCTCTCGAGCCTAAGGCGGCACATAGGGCAGAGGTCATAGCTCTCCAGTCTGGCGGTTCATTGCCACCTTTTTTTAGGTCTTGGATGTTCATTAGGCCATTGGTTGAGCCTTCTCTGATGATGGTTCTATGCAGGGTCTCTCTTGGTCTCTCCCCATTTTCTCTTCCTTTCCAGTGTTATTATGAGGGCTTGATGGGGAAGTCTTGTCTTATCCATTCTGAGTGCATGGCTGATATAGTTCCAGCGACGCTTTCTTATACAATTGCAGACATTATCTTGCTTGGTCTCTTGTCTTATTTGCGAATTGGATCTGAAATCTGTCCAGTAGAGATTTAGTAGTCTTCTAAGAAATCTGTTCTAAAAATTGTCTAATTTCTCTTATCTAGAGCTAAACCAAGTCTACTAGATAAGCTAATGAAGTGTGGCTGAGTGAATGCATTTAACAATTTCATGATTCTAAAGTACTCGGGCTGGATTTCTGCAGTGAATAGTTAAAAATAAACCATTCTCATGGTGTTGAAAAAGAGGCACAAGAGTCGCACCATGGTAGAGACTGGACCTCACTATGCTTGGGAGCGAACCCACAACCTTCCGAGTCAAGTGTCTAGCCGCTCCACCACGGCGGCTCCCATATCTCATTTTGCAGGTGTTCATTTTACCTAGGTCAGCCTCTAATACTATCCAAGTCCAGCACTGGTAGCACAGTGTTGGTATCAATATGCTGTAACGTATAAGGAGAGATTTCATCAAGTAAAAGAAAAGTAATGCAAACCTCCCCAGCTCCTTGGAAAACAAACTTGTTATCTGTCAACTTCTTGCCTGTGATGCGAAGACCAGCAAATATTCCTGCAGCAGCCACTGCAGCGGTGCCTGAAACATAAAAGTTTACTAAGAGATATAATTTGTTATCTGAAATTGATCTGTATTTTTTGTTGTTGTATACACACAGAAATCTGCTTCTTATTCAAATTCATTAGCTGTAAACTCTAGCTGAAAGTCCTGGTTGTTCATTCACTCCTAGACTCTTAGCTTATTCTAGAACTTGAGTTTTGCATGTAAAGTAAAACTTTGATCAACTGTAACTGTCCAGAACAGGACTGTGACAGATAACTGAATAGTTAGTAATGACACTTTTCTAGGGAAAAAAATCAAAGAAAAAAAAGTTCTTGAAATATTCTGATTTTTCTTTTTTGATACATCTGTCAGAAAACTTATTATCAGGAGATAAGTAGCCTTGATGAAAGCTATTGTGCGGTCAAAACCTCTTTTGTACCATATAGCCCTGACTTGATTGGGACTAGAACAGGCCAGGTTGCTATTCTGATTTTGTCAATGTACTTTTCTATCGTCTGTATCACCGGCCTTGACTTACCTTGGATATCATCATTAAAAGTACAATATTTGTCCCTGTACTTTTCAAGAAAGCGGAAAGCATTGTGGTTACCAAAGTCTTCAAACTGAATCAGGCATGTGGAACCATATCTGGGAACAATGCATCAGATCAACACATTAGTTTACTATCCACAATAGACAACAATGTTTACCTCACACACTTAATTTCATCAGGTCACTTTTTCTTTTATGTTTGTCCTTTCTAGCTAATGACAGTAGGCCTGCAAAGCAGAGGATTTGTCTGTACATCTTTGTCTAGTAACATCCTTTGGTCTGTTCAACCTGTGAGATTCTGCCAACTGCTATGTTAATGCCAGCATTTTTTGGCCCCTTGGCTACCAAAACTCTATCTCAGAAACAACACGTAAACATAGTCAGTCAGGTGCTGTCTCCACAATGAAAATTAGCTGCAGAGGATCTCCAACACGCTCTGTCCTTTATTCTAAATGTATCTTGTCTCAAACTGCCGCTCGTCCATAAACTGATGTTGTTGTCAAACTTGTATCGATGTCTGCCTCTCGCTCGCCTGCCTTCAAATTTTCCCACCAGTATGGTTTTATAAGAAGTATCTTTTATTAAGACAAAATTTTTTTTAAAGGGAGCCACCATGGTGTAGCGGAAAAGCTCGCTGGTGGGTCTAAAGGTGGTGGGTTTGAATCCAAATTGAGTTGGGCTTTTATCAGAAATGATCTTGACTTCCAGGTCGACCCAGTCTTAAAAGGTACCAGGTATAATGTCTTGGAAAGTAAAAGCGGCCAGCATGATTTTGACCACATCACCCACTGAGTGTGGATTGGTATGGTTAACTATGCTGTAAATACTTGAGATATTTAAGACAGAACAGCCATGTCCAATTTAATCTTCTTCGTGTTCACCAGCTGTAAACTCTGGTGGAAAGTTCTGGTTATTCATCCACTACTGGACTCCAGCCCTGTTCCAGAACCTGAGTGTTGCCTGTGCATCTGTTTTACAGATCTGACTCATTTGTATGCAGACTGCTGGTTCCTTGCCTCTCAGGCAGCTGCACCCCAACTGTGAAGGAAGCTCCCAATTAGTCGACTCTTACGACATGCTTTTGGGTAGGCAGTGGGTCTATTATTGTTTTCCCTATAACAGGGCCCTGGAACCCACAAAGGGAGTCCAATTTAATAATCTCCACGTTATCCTTAGAAAGTTCCAATGAAATTACCATTCACACTTCTTCTTTTCCTAGCGTTTACCGGCTCTAAACTCCAGCGGAAAGTTCTGGCTGTTCATCCACTTCTGGACTTTAATCTTGTTCCAGAACTTGAATTTTGCACGCACATCCATTTTAGAGATTTGGCTTATTTATATGCAACTGTGGCTTTGCGAGTGGCTTTGTAATACCGGGGTTCCAGGGTTTGAGTCCAGCCTCAGAAAACTTGTCTTGCATTGGTTTGGACAGTGGCAGAGAGAAAAAGATCCCATAAATACACAACTGCTAAACATTTAAAAAAGGGTGAAATGGAACCCCAAAGTCAGCCATGAAAATGAATCCCAATGAAACCCCCAATAAAATAGTTTACATAAAATGAGACAATTCCCAGACCCTTTAGGCTAGATCTCGGGTACCCTTTTCCCAAAATCACAAAAAACTACACGGGGACGAAGGTTTTTGGGGGGATGACATTTTTGGGTCATCATGGACAACTAGGACTGTGAGGAATAAAACATTGGGGTGTCAAACTCCCCTTTTAGCTCTTTCTGTCAAATGATGCCTCCCCAGCTCCTGATGATTCGACTGTCTTTTGACTCTGGAAATTTTCCCTTGTAAACTGGTCAGGTAGTGAAAGAGAAACTTCAATAGAAAGCAGAAACGAAACCTTTATTTAGCAAGTCTCTACACCAGAAAAGGACACAAAATTCTTTGGCCCCCTAACCTAGCACTGGTAGCTTTTTGAGGGTACCATCCCCCACAGGTTAAAAGATGCCCGGAAAACCTTCCCCGGTGTTAGTGGGGGTTTTAGGGTTGGTGGTGTTTTTTTTGACTGTAAAATCTTCCCCACCCTCTTCAAAAAGTTTCACCCAAGCAAGGTAAAAACTGAGCCCAAATTCCAGATTCCCCTTGGGAAAAAAGTGAATTTTTTACAGGCCCAGATTAACACATCTGGACTTTGAAAAAGGTGGAAAGGGAAAGAAAGCGTCACTTGGACATTTCAGGCGTGGGTACAAAAAAAGTCCCGAATTTTTGCAAGGATTTAAAATGGGTTTTCCAAAAAACCCTCAAAAACCCCCCTTAATATATTTTCCAAGAGAATACTTTTAAAAGGGGATTTTTATTTTAAAGTCCCAGAAAAGGCAGAATAAAAAGTTGTCCAAACGGGGGAAAATATATAGATAAAAGGGGCTAATTTTTTTGGGCGGCCCAAGTTTAAATTTTTTTGTGCCAGATTACAGGTAAGCCGGGTTTATCAGC